TCGCGCACAGGAATAAAGAACGGATATCAGCAAATGAAGATCGATTTATGGAAGTCTTACGGAGTAAAAATATTGATCTTATCGAACCTTGACGCGTCAAACGTCAATGATTGCGAACATATATTAAAAACAGCGGAAAAGCTGGCGCCTGTAGATGCTGTATTTAATCTTGCTGTGGTGTTGAACGATAAGATCTGCCAGAATCATACTGTAGAAACATTTCAAGAGCCATTTAAAGCAAAAGCTTGGGCGACGAAGAACTTGGATCGATTATCTAGAAAAATATGTCTCCAGCTTCGACACTTCGTCGTATTTTCCTCAGTTTCTTACGGCAGAGGCAATGCCGGACAGAGCAATTACGGCATGGCAAACTCTGTTATGGAAAGAATTTGTGAGAGAAGAGTGCAAGAAGGTTTACACGGTTTGGCGATTCAGTGGGGCGCAGTGGGCGATGTCGGTCTCGTTGCCGATATGCAAGACGACGACAAGGAATTGGTTATTGGCGGTACTTTGCAACAAAGGATAAGCTCCTGCATCGAGAAACTCGAAGAATTTTTGTTACAAAAACATCCCGTAGTGGGGAGTATGGTTGTAGCTGAGAAGCGTTCGGACGCTTTTGGCGCAAACAATATTGTTGAAACCGTGGCCAATATTATGGGTAAGTTAGTATAGCATAAAAAATTAAGCAATTTAATTATGTGTAATAAAGCGAATTAATTAAGTATAATAAAGCAAATAAAAATATTGTATATTAATATAGGCTTGAAGGATTTGAATAACGTGGCTCGCTACACATCTTTGCCCGAGCTCGGCATGGATTCGATGATGGCTGTGGAAATTAAACAGACTTTGGAACGGGAATTTGATGTTTTCCTTACAACGCAGGATATTCGTCATCTCAATTTTGCCAAACTTATAGAAATGTTTGACGAAAATACTTCGAACGATAAAAACGTTCGAGATGTGAACGAATTAAATGGCATTAAACTGCTCGTTCGTTTGATAGGTAACGATCTAATACCCGATGTGTGTATGGATTTGCCAACAAAAAGGAATATGACGAGAAGCGAAATATTTCTATTGCCAGGAATGGAAGGTTGTGGAAATATATTCGATTCGTTGGTACAACATATCGAAGCTCCAGCAACGTGCTTACAACATGGAGCATATCATATCGGCACGAACTGTACTTCAATAAACGAGATCGCAGATCGTCTTTTAAAAGTATAAATCTTATATTTAATTACGATTATAGTATCTCATAGAACATTAGAATAACAGAGTAAAATTAATATAGTATTATTTCTCAACGTGTTTTACTATATTTTATAATTTTGTATTTGTTTGTAGCATATTTTGAGCAAAAAGAAATTGAATCAGGATTTTGTAATAGTGGGTTATTCAATGGGATCTTTGATCGCAATTGAGTTAGTGCGAAAGTTAGAAGGCATGAATCTTCAAGGCAGATTAGTGCTTATCGATGGCGCACCTGAGCAGTTGAAAGCATTAGTAAATAATTATTTATCTTTTAATACGTTTAGTGAACTCGAAAATAATATTCTTTTGAGTATAATGGATATTATACAACCAGTACTTAGTGGAAAGGTATATTATATTTATAGAAATTTTCTTTGAATGTGTGAGTTATTTTTTAATAAGAGTTACTATTAATCTAATTTTTACAGCTTCTTTTGGAGTTAAATAAATGCACCAACTGGGATGAAAAATTAGATGTTTTTACAAATCATGTTTCTCCAATTTATAGAAAATTGTCAGTTGACAATAACAAATCTTTGTGTACAACAATTTACGAGCGGGTAATCGCTGTTCATGAATATGATGTTACACAATTCCCGAAAATTGAAACACCGATAATCCTTTTAAAGCCTATGATACAATCATTGTCTTTTTCTCAGGAAAATTACGGTTTACATAAGGTAAGTTGTATGGTGATTATAAAAAGATTACTTGTATAGCAGAATTACTTTACAGTTAAATAATTTTCAGATTACTAAAGGAAATGTGGAAGTATGTTATATCGAAGGTAATCATGTTACAATGATGGACAGCGATAAAGTTGTCGCTGCGATCAATGGAGAACATATCGAAAGTGTCAGAAAATTAAAGCTAGATTTAACAGATGATAACACAACATCTGTTAAAGATATTTATACCAGATCATAGAACTATCACAATTAGATATTATATAATGTAAAAATATTTAATTCTACATGTTTAATTAAAAATTAATGAAATGATTCTTTGGTAATACTGTATTAATACAATTTTGTATATAAAGCACAGTATTAACACATAATTATTTCGTTAATTTCTAAGTGTATGTGTATTACAGAATTTGGTGTTTTTACACAGTTACATAAACATATTTAATTTTACATATTTTTAATAGCATTAAATTAATGAAAGTATAAAATATTGTATTGGGCGCTTTTAAAAGAATATAAAATTTTATTTTACTCATTCGTACTTTTTATTAATTATATTAATTTTTATCTACATTTATGATGTTTCTTTATAAATATAATAGAGATAGAAAATATATTTGGTTAAAAGAAAATTATGAATGAATAAAAAAGTTTTATATTTTTCCAAAAGCAATGCAATATTCTATACTTTCATTAATTTAATGCTGCAAACTCTTATTATATATTCTATAGCACAGACTTATAGTTGTAATACTTATTGAATTTAATTTTCTACGGCTTTATTGTTATTGCTGTACAATTTTGTACATATAATAATAGTCTTTTTATAAAAGCGACGTTTTTTGTTTATTCTTTAAAAAATTGTACAAATACAACAGTACAATACTTTATATTAAATTGATGAAATAAATTAATCGATTAAAATTATTATTATTAGCAGTATAATTATAAACAAGTAGAGTTGTGCAAATTAGAAGTTTGCCCATTGCTTCATCATCATTTTATCTTACAAAGCTTAAGCTGCTTTAAGCATGCGAATTTTTCAATTTTTGCTTTCTCATAGAGGAAGCTTTATGAGCGAAATAAAAATTAAAATAATCCGTAAATATCGTGCCAGATCATGTTGTCGGTCATTCGATCGGCGAACTCTGTTGCGGATACGCGACTGGCAATTTTACAATAGAACAAGTGCTTCTCTCCTCATATTATATAGGATTGGCATTGAGTGAAACAAAAATAGTTTATGGCGCCATGGCGGACATTGGTCTGAGTTATGAAAATGCTAAGAACATATGTCCACCGGATATTGATATAATCTACAATATGAGTCGCAATACTTGCTCTATAAGTGGGCCAGAAAAATCAGTAACGGCATTTATAACAAAGTTACAGGTGCTTTTATATATTTTTTATGACTTAACTAAATATTTTATTTTTAATAAAATAAATTATATAAGTAATAATATTTTGAATTGCCATTTATACTTTTGTAGGATGATAACATCTTTATTAAAGAAATTAACTGCAGCAATATTCCTCTTCACAGTCGTTATCTCGCATCTGCAGAAGCGACAATTTTGGCTTATCTAAATCGAATAATACCGCAAAACGTAACACACAGTCAGATGTGGCAAATTTCGTTTTGCGGCACGCGTGAGTTGTCCTATGCTGAATATTTTACAAATAATCTACTAGGTCATGCACTTTTTGAAAAAACTGCAAGACTGATTCTTAAAAATACATTAACTTTGGAAATTGCGCCGGGTGAAATTCTTCAAAGCATTGTGACAGAACTGTTCGAAACGACCAATATTACATTATTTCAACGCCATCACGAAGACAATGTTAAAGTATTTTTGCAAGGATTGGGAAAAATGTATAACAATGGTTTGCAACCGCAACTAGCGAATTTATATCCAATTGTGCAATTTCCTGTTAGTCGTGGAACGCCAATGATTTCTCCATTAATTAAGTATATAAAACATTTTATCTATTAAACATATATAAAAATGCAGAAGAAATATTAAATAATTTTTGTAACGCCAGAAGTTTTACTTTTTATTTGATGACCGATATATATTTCTTATGATATTTTAGATGGAATCATTCCGAAGAGACGTATGTAATGTGTTTCAAAACACAAAAGAATATTACTTCCGGAGAAAGAACTATCAACATCACATTAAAAGACGACACTTTGGAATATATAAGCGGCCACGTAATCGACGGAAGAAATCTGTTGCCAGCCACGGGATATCTTGTTTTCATTTGGGATACGATTAGTATGCTGAAGGGTCAATTGCTTAATGACTTTCCGATTGTTTTTGAAAATATCAAGTTTATTCGAGCAACTTATATTCCGAAGCAGGGAGATGTAGACCTAACATTAATGGTGCAGAAAGGTAGATTTTGTTTAGAAAAGACACTTTTATTTCGTAAAAAATGTTGATAAGGCGTTAATCTCTCTCTCTCTCTCTCTCTCTCTCTCTCTCTCTCTCTCTTTTCTTGTTGTTTCTAGCACTTTGAAATCTCTTATTAGCATATCTTCCCCTTCTTTTATTTTTTCATTCTTATTTTTCGCACTTCTCTATTCATCTCAGGCGCTGTAGCCCAAATATAGTATTTAAGCTATGTGTACATATATTTGTATCTATATATCCATACACATATTAGATACATGTACAAGTGCACACTTTCACTTTTATATTACACGTATACACACGTATACACTTACACATACACTCATTCACACACTTACATGTACGTTGCTTTATTATTTTATTGTACACTTTCTTAATGTATTGTTCTTTTTGCGCTTGAGGGGATTCGTCCCAGGGCGCTCAATAAATAAAGCTCTCTCTCTCTCTCTCTCTCTCTCTCTCTCCCTCTCTCTCTCTCTCTCTTGCTTATACTTCCTTTTCTTTAATTTTAACTCTCTCTCTTTCTCTCTATCTCTCCCTCTCCCTCTCTGTCTTTTGCTTATTTTTCCTCTTCTTTAATTTTAAAACTATGTTTTTTTTGCCTTCGCTCTTTCTTTCTCTCTTTCTCTCTCTGTCTTAAAATTAAATAAAATAGATAATATTAATAATTTTTAATAACATTTCTTAATAATATTT